ATTGAACTCACTGTTCTTTTGGAAAATGAGAAACACAGATTGAACATTCTATAGGGAAAAATCAACACAGGAAAAAATGTTGGACTATGGTTTTAAAATAAGCTTCTAAACCCAAACAAAAAGTGGGTGTACAATTAACAAAGTAGTGGCATGCAAATGCAATTGCTGAGAGTATGAAATTTTGAATATGAACTCTTTCCTCTCAAGCAATTGAATTAGTAGAAGAAATTACTAAGAAAAAGCTGAACAGAGATGACTACGAACAAACAAAAATTTTAAGCCTTTTGATATTACTGTGAGACCGATTTTTCTTCTTAAGCCTGGAAGAATTTCTGAAAAATTCTAAGGTAGGTGTTTGAACTTTTCTGCTTGACTTATTTTTTCTACTTAGCACATTACATTTATTTGAATTTGAATATGTTTACTGCACCCATGGGTAAAAATTAACATAAATATTTACCATGACCTTGTGATGTATACAAGGCAGAATGGAATAAGAATTTTTCTTCTCCAGTCTATTTCCCCGGAATAAATCATAAATTGTTCCATTGCTATTAAACCATTTTTCAATAGTTCAGCTCCCAGCATTAGCATGAATAAATTTCTCTTCTAAATATAGAAAGCAAGTCACTATTTTCTTCAACTTTCATAACCTCATCCATTCCTTCAACCAGTTGGTTCACTTACACATACAAGTATGTGTACAAGTATGTGTAAGCGAAAAACTAGTTTTTAATTCTTAGCAAACTGCTCATTCCTCAACAGATGAAATGTCTCTTAATCTATGCCAGTGCTCTTTAGTCAGAATTGGCCTTTGAGTCTATATTTTGCCTCCTATCACTTTGCTTTCATAAAAAGCATCACAGAAGCTTATTCATTAGCATTCAGAGTCAGTCTCTAACATAGGGGTAGCTCTAAGGCAATTTACATTTAGTTCTTTCCATGCTTCCAGTTCTTTACATCAAGCCCTCCTGTTAGCTCTGAGGATAAGTGAGCCAATCAGAAAAGGTTTTGAGCCCTTAGCAAATCTCATCATAAAATATATCCAAACACTGTAATCTGAATGCAATCTTCATTAAGAATTTCCACCACCTGCTTGCTGAAGCCACAGCACAGCTCCACTCATAATCACCATGCAGGGGGCAGCATTAGTTAATGTCATTAGACAAATGTTGCCATCTCCTTGTGCATGTTCATTAGCACCAGGTGGGAAAATACAGGCATGGAAATACAGGGTTGATTCAGGCTTGGACATTATTTATTCAGCTAACTTTCTGAGCATCCTTGAAAAACCAAAAAGGTTGGATTTGAAATATTTTTTTTTAAAAACACACTTCAGGGACACTGTTAGCATTCAACTTCACTAATGAAAGTAGAGGGTTACTTTCCCAGAGGTGTGGCATTGGGTAAGTCGCTTACTCTCTCAGTTTCCCCATCTATAAAACAGGGAGGATAATTTTATCTACCTTAGGGTTTGTATTCAGATTAAATGAGTTGATACAAATAAAGCACTTTGAACAGAGCCTGGTTTGTTTTCATCATTATAATCTTCATCATCATCTTTGTTATGCTAACTCTGCTTTCCATTGTTCATCTGAGCACACCAGGGAGTCCACAGGGACCCACATGGGCCACAGAGAGTAATTTGACTCTGAAACACAGCAGCTTCTGTTTTCTTTTCTTTTTTAACCTACATCCTTGGAGTACTTACTAAGTGCCAGTCACTATGCTAAACTGTTTGCAAACATTTTCTCATGCAAACCTCACAACAAATCTAACAAGATATATACAAAACTGTATTATAATTTCCATTTTATAAATGAGGAAATTGGAATTTGGAGAAGTTAATTTGCTTATAGAAATAAGGTCCACAGACCTAAGTGGATAGACTTATATTTCATATTAACTTTATTTTAGGTGTTATGTTACCTCAAGACTAATTATGAAACAAGTATTTAGAGCTGGAAAGCCTTTCCCATTCATGTAGTGCACAACAAGGTAATTTATAGATTCAATGCCATCCCCATCAAGCTACCAATGACTTTCTTCACAGAATTGGAAAAAACTACTTTAAAGTTCATATGGAACCAAAAAAGAGCCCGCATCTCCAAGACAATCCTAAGTCAAAAGAACAAAGCTGGAGGCATCATGCTACCTGACTTCAAACTATACTACAAGGCTACAGTAACCAAAACAGCATGGTACTGGTACCAAAACAGAGATATAGACCAATGGAACAGAACAGAGTCCTCAGAAATAATACCACACATCTACAGCCATTTGATCTTTGACAAACCTGAGAGAAACAAGAAATGGGGAAAGGATTCCCTATTTAATAAATGGTGCTGGGAAAATTGGCTAGCCATAAGTAGAAAGCTGAAACTGGATCCTTTCCTTACTCCTTATACGAAAATTAATTCAAGATGGATTAGAGACTTAAATGTTAGACCTAATACCATAAAAATCCTAGAGGAAAACCTAGGTAGTACCATTCAGGACAAGGCATGGGCAAAGATTTCATGTCTAAAACACCAAAAGCAACGGCAGCAAAAGCCAAAATTGACAAATGGGATCTCATTAAACTAAAGAGCTTCTGCACAGCAAAAGACACTACCATCAGAGTGAACAGGCAACCTACAGAATGGGAGAAAATTTTTGCAATCTACTCATCTGACAAAGGGCTAATATCCAGAACCTACAAAGAACTCAAACAAATTTACAAGAAAAAACAAACAACCCCATCAAAAAGTGGGCAAAGGATATGAACAGACATTTCTCAAAAGAAGACATTCATACAGCCAACAGACACATGAAAAAATGCTCATCATCACTGGCCATCAGAGAAATGCAAATCAAAACCACAATGAGATACCATCTCACACCAGTTAGAATGGTGATCATTAAAAAGTCAGGAAACAACAGGTGCTGGAGAGGATGTGGAGAAATAGGAACACTTTTACACTGTTGGTGGGATTGTAAACTAGTTCAATCATTATGGAAAACAGTATGGCGATTCCTCAAGGATCTAGAACTAGATGTACCATATGACCCAGCCATCCCATTACTGGGTATATACCCAAAGGATTATAAATTATGCTGCTATAAAGACACATGCACACGTATGTTTATTGCAGCACTATTCACAATAGCAAAGACTTGGAATCAACCCAAATGTCCATCAGTGACAGATTGGATTAAGAAAATGTGGCACATATACACCATGGAATACTATGCAGCCATAAAAAAGGATGAGTTTGAGTCCTTTGTAGGGACATGGATGCAGCTGGAATCCATCATTCTTAGCAAACTATCACAAGAACAGAAAACCAAACACCGCATGTTCTCACTCATAGGTGGGAACTGAACAATGAGATCACTCGGACTCAGGAAGGGGAACATCACACACCGGGGCCTATCATGGGGAGGGGGGACGGGGGAGGGATTGCACTGGGAGTTATACCTGATGTAAATGACGAGTTGATGGGTGCAGCACAGCAACATGGCACAAGTATACATATGTAACAAACCTGCACGTTATGCACATGTACCCTACAACTTAAAGTATAATAATAATAAATAAATTAAAAAAAAAACACATAGAAAAAAAAAAGACTTAGAGAAGTTAAGGACTTCACCCAAGGTCACTCAGCCAGCTGTGACTAGCTGGGATCAGAACATTTACAGATGTTGGCCCTCTAATGCTCTGCTTTTTCTCTATACATTATTTTACATCATTAATAGATTTCTTCAAATGTGAAAATATTTAAACTATGCATTCATCTCCAGGCATGAGTTTCTGCAGCAAGGAAATCATTTATATAAATGGAAAATTAATTGAAGGGAGAAAAGAAATACTTCGGATAGGTTTTTGAAATTTAAAGTTAAACACAACTGCTTAAGTAACATCTTAAAAGATGGCATTAAAGTCATACCCCAGAAGCCACAAATATGATAATAAAAGGTTTACAGTGGCTGTTTTACCAGACATTCTTCAATCCCATTTTCTTTCCAGTGTTTATAACTAGCACGGAACTGAGGGAATTAAGAACAGCTTTCTTTCAGCTTCTCTAAGACTTCTTGTGTTTTAAACCTGAATTCTTGAGGGCAGGGAGGAAAAGGGAATTCCCTAACCTCTGCGTCTGCCACTTCCTTTGCTACACACACACACACACACACACACACCACACACACACACACACACGCACACACAAATTCTTTCTCCCAGAATGAAGTGTATTTTTCCTTTCTCATCTCTTCTGTCTCACAACCTCCACTCCCTCCCCCAAAACCTAAACTTCAGAACTTGGCTCAGTGACATTCCCTCAAGATCAAAGTTAAATGATAATTTCCATGAAAACCAAAGTCATTTCAGTCTCACTGTCTCTCTCACTGAAAGTCTGGGTCTCATGCCAATAAAGCACAAAAAAAATTCCATACTCCCTTTCTCTTCAGTATGAAACTTCATGCTCCCTCTTCCCTTCTTCTGGTGTCTTTTCACTCCTCACACATTACTGCTTTTCTGTAGAGATGTCCATACGAAGTTTCACCTTCTAATTTAAGATTTAGCTACCTTCAGCGTCTCTTTTTCTCTCCTGGATAGGCAATGCCTATGAGGCCTGAGGCTACAGTAGCGAGAAAAGAACCAAGAAGCAAGAAGATAGAGAGAGGGAGCAGTGATGAAGAGGAGATTGTAGGAAATTCACAGAATTATTTCAAATATTCAAGATCGTAGAGCTTGTAAGTGGCTTAAAGTACTAACTCAAGGCTTTTTGACCTGAGTCAAACAAAATCCATTTGTTGAGAATATCATAATACAAAGGAATGAAGACTCATCCCAATAGGAGTTATGAGCTATCCTAGGGATTGCAACATGAAGTGTCTGTGCAACAGTGTGAGTCAGTGACATAAATACAGGGAAGGGTAGGAGACACTACATGACATCACAATACCACCTTTACATACTTCTGCGGCCTTGCTTCACACTTCTTCAGGAGGAATTGTCCATGTAGTTGGGAAGTAACTTCAGAAAGAGAAAATACAGGTGTGTGAGGGTTTTTTCTTTTTCTTACTTGGAAGGAAAATATCAAATTCCTAACACAGAAAATCTCCCTGAGTCTGCCTCCAGTAGGAAAGGTCATTTTGCATTCTGCAAGTTTTATGAGAAAAGCATTAAGCTGTAATAAGTAGCAATTTTAGTATTATTCCTTGCATGTTAAGTTCATTTGTTGAGAATAAAATAATACCATGGGGTAAAGACCAGTCCCCATAGAAGATATAAACTATCCTAGGAATTATGACATGAAATGTTCATATATCTATTATAAAAAATGAATCTATTTTCTGTTGCTCCTTTTTCAGTTAGTAGAAGAAAAAAAGTATTCTACAGAGTCTGTTTAAACAAACAGAAAAACGAAATCCTAGAGTACATATTCAATAACACCTTGGCTTGATAGACAGTCCTGACTTGGAAATGTGAATCAACAAGTGGTTTTTCTGATATGATTGGACAGAAATATAAGATAATGGAAGGCAGAACTAACAATTCATGATCATACTCCTATGCCCATTGTCACCTAACTTTGTAGTGCTATCCCACTCCTATTCTGGGCTCAGCCTTATGACTTGGGTTGGCCAATGGGATACTAACAAATGTGGTGCAAACAGAAATCTGAAAAGCACTTATGGGTTTCCACTTGTTCTTGTCCTCTACCATAGCCATAAGCATATATTTACATTATTCTTCTGCTCACACAGAACAGAGCAAAAGTCACCTCAGTCATCCCAGCTGAAACTATCCTAGGTCAGTCAACAACCCGCCAATCCCTGCACAACACAAAAAGAAAGTCTTAGCTGATCCAAGATAGGCAAAATCTCCTAGCATGCCTCCCAGATGCATGAGTAATCAATGTTTTTTGTTGTGTCATCTGTGGTGGTCTGTTATACAGCATTATTATGGTGCTAGATAACTAATACAAAACCTACAGTGATGAAATGGTTTCTGGATATCAGAACATATTGTATATTGTGTTACATGCTACATGAAAGCTATAGAAGGGATATGTGTTAAGATAGACTGGTAGGCCTATAGGGCCAAGCTACTTCCAGGCAGGGGAAGGATTCTCACTTAAAAGAGGAGATTATTCCTGGTACCAATCACTTAGGGAAAAGCAGTGTCTCTCTGAGTAGAAATTGAATGTCAGAGTATGGACCATTGTCAGTTAGATGATATGGCAGGGTCTCTCCTGGGCAGGTGTATTTGTCTAGGAGGATGTTTCTCTCAGGGGCCATTCAGAATGACTTCTCCTGTGTGGGGACTGACCAGGAGCTGAGCAGTGAAGGACCCAGGAGTTCCATGAGATGACATTGATGATGATGATGATGATGATGATGATGATGATGATGTTGATGATGGCTGACACCGACTGAGCAGGTTGCTTATTATGTCCCAGGTACTATACTTAGCTCTTGATATATGTCAACTCATTTAATCTTCATAACAACCCTATAAGGCAGTCATTTTCTTTCCTCATTTTATACTTCAGGAAACTGAAGCCCAGAATATTAAGTGACCTTTATCCTTTGACTAAGGACAAAATAACAGTTAACAAGTAGAGCTAGGTGGCCACAAATCTGGCTCAAGAACTCTATTCTAAAGAGCTTATGGAACAAAACAACAAACAGATTGAGTAAGGACCAGGACTTTATACTTTGTAAGCTGGGTTGCTGATGGTCCTAGTACTATGTTTCTGACACTGCATGTTCAGGAATTTTTTACCACTATGAGGCCAATATCTTGGTGGCAGCAGGAAGGGAATAGAAAGAGAGAGAGAGAGAGAGAGAGAGCTACTGTGGCAATGAGAGTGAGAGAGAGAAGGAAAAAAATCTGTATGAGAAGGTAAAGTTGGGGCATGAAGTCAAATGCCGTTAGTCAGGGGGCTTTACTTTGTTCCCAGTTTTCCCAGGAGATTGTCTACGGATGCTAATTCCTTAGAGGTTCTGGGTTTAATTTTATTGAAGAGGTGGCACTTCCTTATGTTTTGTTGGTGCCAGGCAGTTTTGTAAGCTTTTCACATACATTATGCATTGAATTCTAACAACAACCTTTCAAAGAAGAAACAGACTTTTATCCTTAAAGATCAGCGCTATTCGAAGTGTGATTCCTGGATGTGTGGCAGGCTGTGAACTCTTTCTTTCCAGTCCACAACAAGACGATACAGAAATTAAAAGTGGCTGTTTTTAAAAAATGTTCTGCTTGTTGAATCTAATAACCTAAAAAAATGAGTGCATATCTTATATGTCTACATTTTCTATTTAATTTTCCTGGTAATTCATATATTTTACAAAAGTATTTTTCCTCAAATGGATTAGAAATTTAAGAAAGACAATTTGGGAAGCACTGTTCTATACCATGGAATTGAGGCTCAGAGAAACTTGCCAAAGTTTCAGTCATTAGGAAAAGACTCAAACTTAAATCTTAATCTAATGCCCATCACTTCATTTATTTTTATTAAAATTAATGTCCGACTTGACTCTTCCTGCCCACACTTGCCTATTTAAATAATGATGTTAAGCTCATCTTTTGGGGAGTGGGAAGAGAATGATGGGATCTTTCTACTGGTGATCAGCCAGGCCATCACAAAATGTAGAAACAGGACTTTAAAAACCAAAGTGAAGCCAGGTGCAGTGGTGTGCGACTGTAGTCCCACCTACTCGGGAGCCTGAGGTGGGAGGATTGCTTGAACCCAGGCATTCGAGGCCAGCCTGGGCAACACAATGAGACTCCCATTTCTAAAAACAAACAAAAACAAAATCAAAATGATGCTACCAATGTGCTTGTGTAGCAGACACTGCCACGTGCAATGCCATGGCATTTACCCAGGACATGATTTATGCAGCATGACTTGGAAATAACAGTGAAACCTTTTCTCTTGCTCCTTCTGCAACTCCCTAAGGGAGAAAAATAGGAAATACATAAAATTCTCATTTAAGAAAAATTGTTTAACAGACCCTACATCCAGTGAAGCAGTTCATTTTGTGGTTGGAAATTCAAAGGAATTTTTTTTCTATCATCAGTTAAAAGAAAATCATGCTGTGATTACAGCAATGAGTAGTAGATAGATGTGGGCGTTGGAGCAAGACACACTTAGATTTGGGTCCTGCCTTTACCATTTTCTTGCTCTGTAACCTTGGCATCATGCTAATATTTCTGAATTTTGTCCTCAATTGTAAAATGCGAATAATCCATACCTCACAGGATTTGGGGATAATTTAATAAAGGTAACTCACATAAATTACTTTCATCAAATACAAAGTAGAAGGATAATTATACCAGATATCTCCAAACCAGATACATTTAACCCGCTTGTTTAAGATTCTTTCAAATGCTGTGGCTATACAATTTCAAAATAATTAACTAAAAGGTTTTTAAAAATTGTTTAGTTATTTAGATAGTAGGTTTTTTGAAATACGGGATAAAACAAGGTTATTTGACTCAATTTTAAAAATTGACTAGCTGAATGTTAGCCTATTTTGTTTCCCTATAGAAAAAGTGTAATGAGTTAGGACGATACTCTGGTTTATCATACACTGAAACGTGTTTCATTAAATTTGTGATTTATTCACATTTACAGATTATTGATAATCTTATCTCAGAAGGATGTTGGAGAGTCATAAGAGAAAGTCAAATTAGATTATGTAATATATGGTTTCTGGTATATGATAAGCACTGAATAAATGTATTTCCCCTTTATTCTACTTGATTTATAGGTGTTATAATTTCTAGGTCAATGTCATGCTATAGAATTTAATTATACAAAATTACTACTATTGTGGATTCTTACATTAAGACTTAACAGAATGAAATAATTTCTACTTGGAAGGTAGAAGTACAGTGATTTAACACTGCTATGAATTTGTCCTGAAACCCTATAGTGAAATTTCTCCAAATGAACAATAATAAAATCTCTATGATAGACAATGTTTAAGGTCTGTACTCCAAGTAGTTTCTAAAGTGGCAGGGAGCCTTCGGCATTTCCTCAGTAATTGGTCCCTAAATTGTATCAACAAGTGCTTATGTGCTCTTTATAGTTTTGCTTGCTTTTGCCTTTAACCATTTCAATATTCTTTCCTGAGCAAAACATAACCTATGCTTTAGAACATTAATTGATTTTCCTTGCAACATCCTAGGGGGTCTGAAGACCGAAGCCTCTTTGAAGAGCTCATTTTAGGCAACATTGGAAACGATTTCAGAACACCATATAGGATTAGTTAGAAAACCACCTGGAAACATTTGGTAACTTTAGGTCTACCATCATGCTGTCACTTAGGTTGAATCTACAGATTTTTGGATCCTTCTAGAGCATACATACTTACCAGCTCACAGACTTATTTAAGCACTAAATGAAATTAGGTCTGTAAAAGTACTTTCCAAACTATCAACAATATGCAAAGGCTGCAAAATGGTCAGATATTATTTCATAGGATGCTTTTGCTTCCTCACAGTTCCGTCAGGGTCACAAGATGGCTGCCATGGTCAGATGTCACAAACCCATATGGCAGTGTTCTCAGCAGGAAGGACGGGGGGAAGGCTCCTTTTTATCAGGTAGGAAAATCTTTCCTAGAAGCCCCAACCCCAGTAGGTTTCCCGTAAGTTTTTGTTGGCTAAAACTGGGTCACATGGTCATCCCTAACGGAGGGTAATGGAATAACTAATCTCAGGCAAGTGGAAACAGGATTACCATGGTTGGTTCGGGCCAAAGGAACACAAAATGGTCTGAGTTAAAGGTCTGTGATATTTAGGCTCCAGGTCTAAGAGCCTAGCTTAGCTTTTTTGGGTTCCCTTCCTTGCTGGTTCCATATAAATAATTTCATTTTAATACTTCCTAGACATACTGACTATATATTCTGATTTCCCCTCTTAAATACACCTATTTCCCCAAAGAAACTGTGACAATCTAAAAAAAATCCTCCAGTGTGCCTGAACTCTGTTACATGAATTCTTCCATGTTCATCCCCATACTTCTTGTCTATCTCGTGCAACATGGAATTGAAGGGAAATAATGACATTTGGATTCAGATGGACCTGTGTCTGAGTTGTGGCTCCATTGCATCTTAGTTTGGTTAAGTTGTGGAACTTCTTTGCACCTCTATTTCCTCATCTACAAAAGGAAGACAAAAATATTCAACTTACAGGGTTTAGTACAAGGATAGAAAGTGCCAGGCATATAGCAGGCATTCAAAACAGATGATTCATTTATGTTTATCTTTATTATTATGACACATATCCATTTCTGTGATTGCTCTATCTCTAAAGCTGGTTCCAGCTTTTTACTTGACTCATTTGGGTTGGAGACTTTTTTTTTTTCATGTTCTGCTTTTCTTTTGTTTTGTGGCTTATCCTGACTTTAACCCTGTATAGGTGGCCCTCCATATCTGTGGGCTTGCATCCTCAGATTCAACCAACTTCAGATTGAAAATATTTAGAAAAAAAAAATACAACTATAAACATAATACCTTTTCTTTCTTTTCTTTTCTTTTTTTTTTTTTTTTTTGAGACAGGATCTTGTTCTGTCACCCAAATTGGAATGCAGTGGTGTGAACTGGACCTCCTGGGCTCAGGCGATCCTCCCGAGCAGCTGGAACCACAGGCCCGCGGCACCACACCCAACTAATTTTTAAATTTTTAACTTTTTGTGGCAACAGAGTCTTGCCATGTTGCTCAGGCTGGTCTTGAACTTTTGGCCTCAAGCCATCTTCCTGCCTCAGCCTCCCAAAGTACTGGGATGACAGGCATGAGCCACTAAGCTCAGTGCAAATTAAAAAATATATAGATATATAGTAAAACAACTATTGTTATAGCTTTCATATTGTATTAGGTATTGATATGGTTTGTCTCTGTATCCCCACCCAAATCTCATCTTGAAATGTAATCCCCAATTGTTGGAGGAGGTGCCTGGTGGGAGGCAATTGAATCATGGGGGCAGACATCCCCCTTGCTGTTCTTATGATAGTAAATGGGTTCTCATGAGATCAGGTTGTTAGAAATTTTCTGAGTGTGGCACTTCCTGCTTCACTCTCTCTCTTCTGCTCTGCTATCATAGGACATGCTTACTTCCCCTCTGCCTTCTACCATGACTGTAAGTTTCCTGAGGCCTCCCAGTCATGTTTCCTGTTAAGCCTGCAGAACTATGAGTCAATCAAACCTCTTTTCTTCATAAATTACCTAGACTTAGGTAGTTCTTTTTAGCAGTGTGAAAACAGACTAATAATTGTAAGTAATCTAGAAATGACTTAAAGTATAGAGGAGGATATATGTACATTATATGCAAATACTCCACCATTTTATATAAGGGATTTGAGTGTCTATAGATTTTGGTATCTGCAGGGGGTCCTGGAATCAATTCCCTGTGGATATCAAGGGACAACTCTACTCTTTCAGGACATGCTCATTGGTTCCAGTACTCTGCTATTTCTCTATTGATTTCAATACAACTCTGAATAAAAGATGCTCAGACCCCTGAGCCATAGTCTGGAAGATACAGCAACAATAAATGCTTGTGAAGGTGAAAAAATAAAATAAACATACTGAACATATTTTAAAAAGTGCAGTAAAGATCAGCGAAGTCCAACTACAGTCACAACAAGGGCTGGCCATGTCAGGAAAAAATATGTGCAATGTAAATTTTTTACACATAATTTTTTGTGACATCTTTGAAAGTAGACTGGAGATTTATCTCTAAACATTTCTATATTTGTGTGTGTGTGTGTGTGTGAGAGAGAGAGAGAAAGAAAGAGAGAGAGAGAGAGAATTATAAAGTGCATCAGGCAAAATGGAAATTGGTGAATCTGGATAAAGGGTACATGTTAGGTCCTTGTACTGCTTTTGCAGCTTTGTTGTATGTTTGAAATTACATAAAAATAAAAAGTACTTAAAATGCACAGATATTTCAATGAAATACTCACAACTGAAGTGCGTATTGAATATATTAGAGTGGGTGGCTTGGGATGGTGGGAGTTGAGATAGAGATAAAAGAGAAAAAGAATGAAATAAAACCAGAATGGGGTCTTGAGATAGCTGATTGATGATGGTCGTGGAGCATGAGCTAGAGAGAATGATGGCCTTTTCTCTCTGCAGCAAGTTCAGAAGGGGATGATGAAGAGACAGGTACAAGCTCCTTGTATAGAGAATAGTCTGGATACTCCTCTGAAATATCAACTTGGGCTTGACTTGCGGAATCTTTCCCTTTCCCATGTGTAGCTGGACTCTTGATATTTTCCTGCTTCAGGGATTTTCACAGGAAAGAAAGAAGAAACAATTTGAAGACAATTGTTATCTCCTGTCTTTTGTAAAAGCCTAAACAAAATGATCTTCAGCTGAGGAGTGTATTTGACGGTATTTAGAAAGAAGAGGGAGAGACTTCACCTAGAATAAAAAGGTCAGAGAAGAAAGGAACAATCTAGAGCAGGTGGGCTCTGGACACAGATCTCTGAGCCCCAACAAATAGTCACATGTCCTAATTGGACCAGAAAAGACCATGTTCCTGGGATAATGGGTATCTTAAAGATAGTCAGGGTGGACAGATAAGTGATGGCTAGGGTTTTCTCCCTAATGTTATGCGGCTGGGTAAGACCCTTGCAGAACCCTGAGGGGAGTCTTGGTAACTTACATCTCCTGCCAGGATAAAGAGATGGGTGTTCAGATTTAGATTTAATTTGATTGCAGAGAACAAGAGATTTTCTATACTCTTGAATTTGTCAACTAAAAGTCCAAACTGCCTCAAACACATGGTTCTATTTACAAAATAACCATTTACAAAGTTGGTTTTACAACCATATAACTGTTTGTAATACTCTGTATAACATGTTATCACCTGCATCATATGATCATTTGATGCCATCTTTAGCAAAAGGACAGAGGGGCCACTTTTATTAGTTCCTCAAGAATACAGCCTTAGAAATGATAAATTCTTATGAACTATTGTTCAAAAATAACCCCTAGTTATCTTTAGCCTGCTCCAAATGCCCTTCCCCTGGCTATCCCCCGCCCCCGCCTTTTTTTTTTTTTGGTAAAAGAATTTCCTCCAGTAGATAGAGGAAATGTGACCCTAGTATAACTTCTACAGTCTTCAGAAAGCCCAGGGTAGGGCACAGGAAATAGAACAGGTAAAGGAATTGTGTTCAAGCAACTGACCAATGTTATGATTCCTAAGAAAAATTCAAGGAAAGAAAAGGTATTTTTTTTTTTCTTCAGAGGATTTAACAATTTTAGAAATATCAAGTGACTCCCAACTTTCTTTACACACAAAAAAACTAAAGAAGGCAGATATCCGTATCTAATTCTTAGGGGTAAGGCAGTGAATAGAAATTAATTCTATAAATTGGCAGAATTGAGGTGATTGAAGAGAAAACTTATATTCATGCTAAAGGAGCAGCTGGGTGGGAGGAGGAGAAATGAACAGAGCTAGAAAGGGTAGATGGAGGCAGAAAGGGGCAGATAAAGAGCTCTACTGAACGAAAAAGACATGTTTCTCTGCAAGTTTAGGGAAAATGCCTACATCCTGGCAGAGGAAGACTTAAAGAAAAATCTGGTTTATGAAGTGTCAACAAAGGTTCAGACATGCTCGATGTGCTTGTGATGGCATGTGTGTGCTCTTTCTTAAGTGGTAAATTAGATCTTTGTCTACAGGTAGGTGTGTGAAGAGCAGAGGAATAAAATAATGAGCCCAGTGTACTGCAAGTAATGGAAGCATCTCTTTCTGGCAGCTTTTCAGAATTTTGAGCTTGAACCTGACATGACAGCCTGTCCTGGCTTACCTGGGATTGCTTAGAATAGTGCTTCTTAAACTTTCATGTGCATATTCATCACCTGGAGTGGTTAAAAATGCAGGTTCTGGTTCAGTGTGTCTGAGGTGGTGCCTAAGTGTCTTCATTTCCACTAATTTCTAGGTGATGCCAATGCCTCTCCTGCTCAGATCACATTTTGAATAGCAAGGGACTGGAACACATCATCACAGGTATACATACATATTAGAGATGCACAGTATGTACATACACACATGGATTTGGGTATACTTATGAGTGCAAAAAGTCATTTGTTCATTTGTTTAGACAAATTTTGAGTGTATTGTTTTAGGGTAGGTACTGTACACATATAGACATACACTTTTTAGGACTGATCTTTGCAAATGGATTTTAAAAGCACAAAAGATTTCTTTGCTTCCCCAAGGCATTCCATCATTCTCTAGTACTGATCTCTATAAATGGCCTTGCTCTCCTACTCTTAGTTACTAGCTGACTTTAGGATGGGCAGCTGCTTTCCGACATTATTTATGTACAGGAGATGATCCCAATATCCTAAGGTATCCCCTTTCATTGCCTGAAATTCTTAAAATTGCTGTAAGACATAGAGGTGAAAACACGGGTATTGGAATCAGGACGTCTGGGCTTAAATCTTGACTTTGTCACTCAGACACAACTTTAACCTCCTTGAGCTCCAGTTTCTGCATTTGCAATATAGTGATAATAAAGTTTCCCTCATAGGAATGGCTACTCAACTAATTCAACAAATATCTATTGTAGGTTGATTGCCTGCAAAGGACATAGAAATAGAGTTGATTCAATTTCTCAACTGAAGGAATTCACTGACTAGCAGCGAAAACAAGACAGTGACGCATGTAAAGGAAATAGCACAAAGAAACGGCTAACTTACTTTTTGGTGGGACTAAAGGCTTCTTGGAGGAAGTGAGAGCTAAGTTGGGCTTTGAAGGATAGGAAGAATTACATGGTGGAAAAGGAGAGAATAAAGTGATGCTTTTCAAATTTAATCTGCATCTAAATCACTGAAATTGCAAATTCTGACTCAGCACCTGAGGTGGGGCATGTGATTCTGCATTTCTAACAAGCTCCAGTTAATGCTGATAGTGTTGGTCTCTGGACCCACACTTGAAGAAGAAAGCAGGGCATTTTAGGTTAAAGAAATACCAGCACAAAGGTGACAGTGAAAAGCAACATGGTAGGTTTGAAGAACAGCAGCAGCTCAAAACGGTTGCACCATCAATTGCAGGGAAGGAAGTGATGCTGGAAAGTTGGTAGGGTTGGAGCAAGTAAGAATTACATGAAAAGACAAAAGTAAGTCTTTCTGGCACATAGTGAACACTCAGAAATGGCTTATTTCCACCACCCATTTTACTCAAAAACCCACCAATTAGAAAGGAATAGAGAGAATGCTTAATATGAGACAGTAAGATATTTGATTTCTTACTTTCATTTGAGGCCTGAGTCTACTTAATTCATGAAATTAAGTAGGTGAAAAGACATCTAGATGGCCATCTTACCTGCCTCAGAGAAAGAAGGTGATTCCCAGGCTCAAACAGGGGTAAGCAGAAACCACTTCACAAGGCCAAATATCCCATCAGGACAAAATTGTTGAGAGTTAAATGGGATAACATGTGCATTCCTAGCATGTTGTAAGTGCTTAACTAGTTTCTCCTACTTTGAGAGAAGGAAGCCTCTGTACGACTTCAATCCTTGGGACAGATGACTTATATTCCCATCCCAAAATACTACTCCTAATCACTTCATATTATCAAAGTTTTATTAAGACTTTTATCTCCCCAAGAGGGTAACACTTGTTACTCTCATCTCCCCTTTATAATGAATGCATCTTGAAGCAATAAAAAGACCCTGATGGAGTATGGAGACAGGACAAACCAATAAGGAAGATGTAAAACTTACGAATAAAGAATTTCTTATTTCTTCAGATTGTTTCAAAATGCTAAGATACCTTTAAAAGCTTTAGAAAAATATGATGAGTGTTCCCCAAGCAACTTCATATATATGCAGCTCACTGGCCCTGATTACATTAATTCATCATTCATTCTTTCAAAGAACATTTCATTGAGCACTTAGTATGTGTCACGCATTGTTCTAGTCACTGAAATACTAAGTAGAACAAAATAGAATCTCTGACTCCAAGGTTCTACTAATAATATTACAGGAACTCTCTATAGCATTTAATTTATTCTGTAAAACAAACAAAGAGACATAAGCAAACACAGCAAAGCATAACAATGGTCAATTCTATATGTTGGCATGTGGAATATTTGCTCTAGCATTTTTAGTAATTTTTTTTTTTTGGCATCTCTCAAAACAGTAATTGTATTTTTAAAAATCCCCTGTATCAGTCAACTATTTATATAATAAAGCTGTGTAACAAACAATTCCCACATGCAATCATAGGTAGTTGATCTAGGCTTGGCTTTAAGGGATGATTCTGTTTCAAGCTGTGTCACTGGCTACATTTGGCTTCTCACTAAATTGGGCTTGGGTCTGCTCTATATGTGTTTGTTCTGGTGTCCAGGCTGAAAGGATAGCAGTTACCCAGGGGAAGTTCTTTACAAGGCAGTATGGCAATCCAACTGAACAGAACGTTTTAAGTCTCTGCTTGCACGGTGTCTGTTAATATCCTTTTGCCTACAACAAGTCACTTATGTGATCAAGCCCAATGTCATGGGGAAGGCAAGTATACTCTACCTACCCACTATGAGGTTAACCAGTGAGATGGTCAAGCTCAACATCAGTGGAGGAGGGAGAACAGAAGGAGTAAGTGTGTCTTTAAAATGTCTATTTTACACTCTCCAAACCAGTGGAAAAACCTGAGCTAAATATCTGAGAAGACTGCAATGAGTGAATAATGCAGAGGTGTTTTACTCTAGCTACGGGGAGGAGAAGCATCTGGGAAGACTTCATGGAGGAGGTGATACTTGAAGAAATGTTTTCCAGATATACAAGATGGGCAATGGGTTTCAGGTAAAAGAAACAGAGTGTACAATGACACAAAGGCCCAAAAGAGCTTGACTTGTATTGGAAACCAAAAGCAATTCCTTGTGAATGGAAGTATGAGTGTGTGCAGGGTGTGCATGTTTGTTGAGGGAGGAGAAATGAGGAGGTTGGTGGATTTCTAAAACAGAGCAGAATAATCCAGAAAGGCAGACACAGTCAGTCCACAGAGGGCCCTGAACCTCATAAATAGGAGTTTAAATTTTATCCTGCAAAGACTTGGGAACAATTAAAAGGTTTATAGCAGCAATGTGACTTGAGATGATTGATATTTTTGGAAGAGTACTATGGCTATAAAAGGAAGAATAGACTGGAGGGCGATGAGTCAGGAAAGAAGAAAAGTAGTTAAGATGTGATTAGACTGGTTTCACTGGTGAATTCTCCCAGACATTTAAGGAAGAATTAATACCAATCATTCTCAAATGTGTCTGAAAAATAGAAGAAGAGGAAACACTCCCTAACTTATTCTATGAGGCCATATTACCCCAATACCAAAAGCCAAAGACAATAAAAGAAGAAACCAATATCCTTTATGATTATAGAAGTGAAAATCCTGAACAAAATACAGACAGAAGAAATCTAAGAACATATAAAAGGTTTATATACTATGACAAAGTGAAATTTATTCCAGTAATGCAAGAATCATTCAACATAAGAAAATCAATCAATTTAATGCACCACATTAATAGAATAAGAGAATAAAACTTCATGATGGGGAAAAAGGATTTGACAACATCCAACATTCTTTCATGAAAAAACACTCAGAAAACTAGGAATAGAAGAGAACTTCTTCAACATGATAAAGGACACTTACAAATAGCCACTGTTAGCATCATGCTCAACAGTGAAATATCAAAAGCTTTCCCCCTAAGATTAGGAACAAGACAAGGATGCCCACTTTTACCATTGCTATTCAACATTGTACTGGAAGTTCTAGCCAGACAATTATGAAGAAAAATGAAATAAAAGACATCCAAACTGGAATGAAAGAAGTAAAACTATCTCTATTCACAGATGACATGTTCCTATTTATAGAAAATCCCAAAGGATTCACATACGGATGAACAAAACCCCAATCCTACTAGAGCTAATGAATGGCTTCAGTTAAGTTGCAGGATAAAATAACAACTAAAAAAACAAAAATCAGTTGTGGCTGGGGACGGTGGCTCACACCCGTAATCCCAGCACTTTGGGAGGCTGAGGTTGGCGGATCATGAGGTCAAGAGATCGAGACCATCCTGGCCCACATGGTGAAAACTCGTCTCTACTAAAAATAAAAAAAATACCCAGGCATGGTGGCATGCACCTGTAGTCCCAGCTACTCAGGAGGCTGAGGCAGGAGAATCACTTGAACCTGGGAGACGGAGGTTGCAGTGAGCCAAGATCGCACCACTGTACTCCAGCCTGGCGACAGACTGAGACTCCATCTCAAAACAAAAAAAAAAAAAAAAAGGAAAAGAAAAAAATGTTTTATTTTTTCATTCATTGGAAATGATCTGAAAAAGAAATTAAGAAAATAATTGCATTTATAATTGCATGCAATTGAATATAAACACCTAGAAATAAATCTGAATATAAAAATGAATATAACACTAGAATTTTAAATCTAACTGAGGAGGTAAAAGACTTGTACACTGAAAACAACAAAACATTGCTGAAATAAAGAGCAACATAAATGGAAAGACATTCCATGTTCATGAATTGGAAGATAATACAGATAGTCCCCAACTTACAATGGTTAGACTTACTGTTTTTTGACCTTATGATGGTATGAAAGTTATATGCATTCAGCACACTCCTCAACTTACAATGGGGTTATGTCCAGAGAAATCTATACATTGAAAATATCATAAGTCAAAAACGTACTTCTGACTTGCAACATTTTCAGGTTATGATGGGTTTATCAGAATGTAACCCTGTTGTAAGTCACAGAGTATCTGTATTGCTACGATGGAATACTATCCAAAGCAATCTACACATTCAATACAATGTCTATCAAAATTCCAATGGCATTTTCTTTTCAGAAACAGAAAAGTTGATTCTCAAATTCATGTAGAATTGCAAGGGGCTCTAAATAGCTAGAATAATATTGAAAAATAAGAACACTGGAGGACTCACACTTCCTGATTTCAAAGCTACGGCGATTAAAACAGCATGGTACTGGCATAAAATGAACACATAGACCAGTGAAATAGAATTGGAAAGTCCAAAAATAAACCCAGGCCAGGGATGGTGGCTCACACCTGCAATCCTAGCACTTTGGGAGGCCTAGGCGTGTGGCGTGTGGATCACCTGAGATCAGGAGTTCAAGACCAGCCTGGCCAACATGGTGAAACCCCATCTCTACTAAAAATACAAAAATTAACCAGGTGTGGTGGTACATGCCTGTAATCCCAGCTGCTCAGTAGGCTGAGGCAGGAGAATCTCTGGAACCCGGGAGGCGGAGGTTACAGTGAGCTGAGATTATG